GTTCCTGTACCACTGCTTTGTGCGCGGACCATACAGCGAAGTCAGACACATCCGCACTTGCATTGATCTTAAAGTATTCTGTTAATATTCTACTCAATAGTATCTGCAAAAGGGGCACCAGAGAGTAAAGAATCAGTAAATGCCAGGAACCTCTACCTTTAAATTGAAACGTGTCTGACAATTCCAAACAGACAATATAATGGTCTGACAATGTAATTCACCCTATTTTGCACTCAGAGAGCTGAGCCAATGTTGTCCTATCTATGAGGAAAGCATTAATACAAGTATATGTATTGTGGGCCCTCGAGTAGAATGTATAGTCCCACTCCATGCGATGGAGGGTCCTACAGGCATCATACAAGTTGTGGAAGGAGATAAACTTGGTCAACTCTTTACATTGGTTTTCTGATCGTCTCTTACTGCACCCTACAAGGGAGGCAGATGTGTCTAGACTTGGAGTTTGGGTAAAGTTAAAATCCCTGCACAGCAGGAGGCCATCCTGTCTGTATTGGTCTATTTTACTCAAGAGGGAGTGGAGAAAGGTTCTAGGATTATCATTAGGAAAATAGGTTGTGACCAATGTATACTGACTGTTGTTGAAGAGGCCAAGCAGAATGAGGAATCTGCATCTTGGATCTATATAGTGTCTCTGGGGATTATAGGCTACGTCCTTATGAATCATAGAAACATAGAATGTGACAGCAGATAAGAACCATTCGGCCCATCTAGTCTGCCCAATTTTTTTAAAATACTCTAATTAGTCCCTGGCCTTATCTTATAGTTAGGATAGCCTTATGCATATCCCACACATGCTTAAACTCCTCTAATGTGTTAACCTCTAGAACTTAAGCTGGAAGGCTATTCCATGCATCCATTACCCTCTCAGTAAAGCAATACTTCCGGATATTATTTTTAAACCTTTGCCCTTCTAATTTAGTTGCCTGACTCCTACCTTTCTTATAAATTGGTACAACATTTGCTAATTTCAAATCTTTTGGGACTACTCCTGTCAACAATCATTGGTTAAATAAATCCGTTAATGGTTTTGCTAGTATACCACTAAGTTCTTTTAATAACTTTGGGTGTATCGCATCAGGCCCCATTGACTTATTTGTCTTTACTTTTCACAGTTGAAATAGAACCTCTTCCTCTGTAAACTCACATGTAAGAAATGGCTCATTTGTCCTATATCCTAACTGACGCCCCTTTCCTTCATTTTCGTCTGTAAATACTGAACAGAAATATTCATTGAGGCGATAAGCTAGACCTTTATCCTCTTCTACATACCATTTAAAACAAATAAATTATATTTTATTGAAGGTTTTAACATTTACAGCCATTGCAGAGTCATGTCATGTTTGTGGTACAAATTTGCAATTGACATAAGATATAAGATAACATGGTCACATGTACATTTCTGGAGCTGTCTGTGCATCATACAATAGGATACATTGGTATAGACATTGCATCGTTACATAAACATAGTAACACGTAATAAACATATTGAACAGATTGGTCTGAGGTAAAAGGGGCCCAACAGACAATTACGGTAGCACTCATGCTCCAGCCCCTGAAGGGTCCATGTGGCCTCTTTGTCAGTCTGTAAGTGGGAAGTGGCTTTGACGTGGGCATTGAGTTAGAGGGGACTGTCCCCCTACCTGTTCGTGTAGATTTGGCAATCCTCCACTTAGCATGTCTTGGCAACAATGTTGGCTGGGGAAGCTGTGGAAGGGGGCACACTGGGTACAACTGTCTACCAGGGGTACTACAATTTTTTTTTAAAAGTCATGATGCTTCTCACCTGTAGGTAGAGAAAGGTGTCCTGGTCATGGATGCCCCATGCCTCCTGCAGTTCAGGGAATATTTGCACTGTCCATCCCTCTGGTAAATGGCACAGCTGTGTTATACCCAGCTTTTTCCAATTGTCTAGAGAACCCACTGGGGATATGGCCTTAATCACCGTTAACGGTGCCTTAGAGTGAATCCTATCTCTGTAGCCTAATTTGGATAAGAAGTCATCCCATACCCTTAAGGTCAGTCATGTAGTAGAGAGCAAGTCAATTTCTGGTCTACGAAGGGATATGGGGATCCACATATTATCAGTCATGGACTGGTCCTTGAAATAGGCCCTTCCCAAATCTACCCACTGTATTTGCCCAGTCGGGGCATGTAAAGCAATGCTCGCTGAGAGTAGGGAAGCTTGAAGATAAAGTCCTATGTTTGGAAGGCCCACCCATTGCTGGAGATTTCTTTAATAGAGCGAGTGGTAATCTTGGTCTCTTGCCAACCCCATATAAATGAACTGCAAGTCGACTGTATTACCTTACACAACGAGCTTGGAATCCTAATTGGCAGCATGCGAAAGACATACAGCAGACTTGGGAGGGTCATCATCCTGAAGGCATTCATTTTACCTAACCAGGAGAGATTTGCATTTTTCCACCTTAGAGCGTCGTTTTTTCACAGCTAAATTAAGGGAGTATAATTATGTTTTACAATGCCTGCTAAAGAGGTGGTAACGTTGATTCCCAGATATGTAAGGGAGGATGTCCTCCAATCAAAGGGGTAGGTTCCTTTCAGACTGGACACCAACCTCTGCGGGAGCCCAATGGGCCTGTGTCTTATCGTGGTTCAGTTTGTAGTGCGATATGTCTCAGAATTCCTTCAGTAGGGACAGAAGATGTGGCAAAGCTGACATAGGGTCTGATAATGCTATAAAAATATCATCCGCAAAGACTGTAAGGCGGCAGTTATTTCCTTTCATCTGCACCCCGCAAATTTGCATATGGTTTCGTATCTTTTGTGCTAAGGGTTCAAGGGACAAAATATATAGCAGGGGGAGAGAGGGCAGCCCTGTCGGGTTCCATTAGTGATCGGGAATGACTCGGACAAAAAGCCACTGTAAGAAACCCTAGCGGCTGGGGCAGTGTATAATGCCATTATTTGGTCACTAACCTGCAAGGGGAAATTAAACTTGGTGAGAACTGATTTCATATATTGCCAATTTAGTCTGTCGAAGGCCTTTTCTGCATCTAGTGCAAGGAATAGGCTTCCGGCGCCACCCCCCCCCTCCCATTCCCCCTCCCCTCCCTCCATCTCTGCCAGGACATTCAGCACCTTCCTGGAGTTGTCTGAGCCCTGTCGGCCCTTCACAAATCCCGTTTGGTCGTTGTGGATCAGTTTCTGCAGGAGAGGAGCTAATCGGTTGTGAAGAAGTTTTGCATTTATCTTTGCATCGCAATTAAGCAGGGATATCGGTCTAAAGTTCTTACAGGCCGTAGTGGCCTTCCCTGGTTTAGGTAGCATCGAGATATGGGTAATTAGCATTTCCTTTGGTAGAGACCCCCTGTCTGCACTGTGTTGGAAAAGAGCCAGGAGATGTGGAGAGAGTATTTGACCTGAGCCTGTTTGTGTCTTTTCCCCACATCCCCCTGTCTTTTTGCCCATCCACCCAGCATGTTTGCCATCTTCCCTCAACACCTTTTGCCACCCTCTCTTACTTCCTCAGCCCCTGTTTTTTTTTAACTTTTCATCAACCCCTCTGTATGTTCCTTAATCCCAAGCCCAACTGTATGTCACCCCCAACCCCCTCCATGTCTCCCCGACCACATGTGTCTCTCCCACCCCTGCAACACCGCTTGTGTCTTCCCCACAGCCCCACTGCGTGTCCTTCCCCACCCCCTCTGTGAGTCTTTTTTCTATTGCCCAGTCCCTCTGTGTCTCCCTGCCTAGTTTCCTGTCGGCCTCCATGACCCATTTGTGTGCCTCTTTATCCCCCACGTCCCTTTGTGGTCTCCCTTTTACCCTCCTGTGCCTGCACCCCTTACATTTGTAGCATGGCAACGCGGACTGTGGTCAGGGTCGGTGCAAGGATTTCTGCTGCCCTAGGCAAAGATCCATTTTTCTGCCCCCTCATGAAAGCAAATACAATGTCACAGAGGTTTATTCACTAAACTCTGAATTGCAGAGAACTGAAAACTAAATTGCAAAGTTTAAGCAAAAACAGCTGAATGGTGACTGTAGCAGAATTGAAGAATCCTTCTAGATCAGCTACTTTCGCCTAAATTTTGCCATATGGTTTCCAGTTAGGTCTGCCTAATACACACATACCTTAATGTGTACATCCGTAAACACACATTGCCTAATACCTACATCCATACACACACATGCTGCCTAATACATGCATCCACACACACACATGCTGCCTAGTACATGCATCCACACACACATACTGCCTAGTACAGTGGTTCCCAAACCAGTCCTCATGGCCCACAAACAGTCCATGATTTATGTATTTCCCTGTTTTATTCCAATGGAGATACTAACAAAACCTGGAATATTGGTGAGTCTTGAGGACTGGTTTGGGAAATGCTGGCCTAGTACAGGCATCCATACATACATGCTGCCTAATACCTACATCCATACACACATACTGCCTAATACCTACATCCATACCCACATACTGCCTAACACCTACATCCATACACACATACTGCCTAATACCTACATCCATACACACATACTGCCCAAGACATGCATCCATACACACATACTGCCTAATACATACATTGTACATTGAATACATACTTTATCGCTGTGATAAATGATGCATTTGGTGAATTTAATTTATAATAAGACTAGCACACACACTGACAGACACACTGACTGACACACACACACACTGTCAGACACATACTAAGTCACTGACGCACACAAGTCACCCAGCGCTGCGGCCCAAGACAGGGGTAGCCCACCAGGAAACATTCTGGTGGGCACCCCCTGCAGGCCCGCAGCCTAGTCGATTGCCTAGTTTGCCTAACTATTGCGCCAGCCCTGTATCCTTCACCCGATCCTGTACTGTACCGATCCTGATACAAAGAGAGACTGGCAAGAGGTGACACTGTCATAAGGTGATTTAAATAGTTGGTTATGATAAAAAGAATTGAAGTGTCTAAATTAGCGATCAGTAAGTATTTCAAATAGTTAGAAACTATGCAACATTGAGACTGAGAAATAACGTTTTTTATTTTGAAATAAAGGCTATTACAATGTACAAAAACAGGTATTCAGAATTGACATCAAACTCCATAATTTATATTACTTATAAAATGCAGAATAAGATATTGCTAGGAGCTGGGCCAAAGGTTCTCCTCATATACAACCAAACACCACAGTAAATGCATAGACAAAATCTGATGCGGTTGACTAGGTCACTTTGTTAAGTGTAGTTTGTGGAAGAACAGATTTATTCTTTGAAAACAAATACTTCTTCAGAGGAAAAGCCAAGATCTTGTAGAAACCTATAATACAGAACAATAATTAGAGGCATTCATTCCTGCACATAAGCACACATTTTGAGCAAAATTAATTAGACATAACTGTGCAAAATACTGGTAGAAGAAAGGCAAGGTTATTTAATGAAGTGTGAACTGTCAGGAATTTTATTAACACTATAGTGTTAGGAATACAAAACTGTATTCCTAATACTAGTTTGCCTCTGCCTCCACCCCGATGGCAATTAAAGGGTTAAAATCAATTTTCCACTTACCTGTTTCAAGCGCTGATATCCCTTGGTGATGGATCACCCTACTCTTTCTCAAAATTCAGAGCTTGGAACGTAATGCGCTTGCAAAATTGAAGATTTTGCAGATGCTGTTCTGTACAGCGTGAGGACATCCAACGTCGTTTCATGGGGTTAAATTCTGAGTGAATTGAGCAAGTGGCTATCTGGAAAATTGCAATGCTGTCACTTGCAGGGTTAAGGGGTTAGGGGTACTGCACCCAGACCACTTCAATTAGATGAAGTGATGTGGTTGCCTATAGTTTTCCTTTGAGAGTGAATTTAATTTACATTTTCAAACCAAAATCTTCTTCGTCGGCTATGCTTTCAGCTAGGCTACATTGCTGTAAAATGTATTCGAAATTCACTGTGAATTCTCAAAAACAAACAAACAAAAAAAAAACACCTAGGGACTTTCAATCTGTATAACTATAAAGAGACCAGGACAGGTTAAAGATTAACCCATAACTTTGCAACCCAATTTTGTCATGATATTAGTTCCTATTATCCAAAAGGCCTATCATATTGTCAACGTGTGAATTCATCAAACATAACTGAAGTTGTATTGTCACTTCTCTGGAAATAACATGTTTAATGTCTGTTTAATGGCAGGACAAACACAGGACTACTTTCAGTATAATACAAATAGATTTCTGATCAGTCTGTTAAACAAAATGTAATACAGACAGGGGGACATACGCTGGGAAAGTAACGCTAATGCATTTTGTGCCATAAGGGTATGTCCTTAGTCTCCAAGGAAGTACCATAGCAGCACAAAACATGTTTGTGTGTTTTCCCCAAGTTTACACTGCATTTCTATAGCAGACTATAATAAAAGGCTATTTTCTGGGAGCTGGTTAAATCAAGCTTAAGGGGTTTCTGCAATCATTTAAACAGTTTTAAAAAAAATTCCTTTCTTTTGCATCATTTTGCAGTTCTTAGACATTACCCACCTCATTGTTTTTGGAAAAAAAAATATCTAAAAACTTACCTTGAATCCAACGCATGGCCAACTTCTCTCCCAATCTGTTCTGCTGCCATGTGTCATCAGATTTGGCTTTAAATGAGGGTGTGATAGTGGGCTGGGCTATGGCTACGGAAGCATAGAAGAAGGGATACATGAAGGGAAATCAAAGAAGGTGTAATTAGGGAGATAGGTGGGATTAGGGAGGGTAATAGTGAGACATGGCTGTCATAAGGGAAGGAGGGAGGTGTATACCAGGCAACTGTAAAATTGCAACACAGTCAATATGAGTATTTCATACTCATTTTAAGGGGGTGGGGGGGTGACAGTGTTGCTGTAAGTGTCTAAACAGTAAACGGAGTAATTTTTGCCACATTGTATTCTTCTGTTTGCTACCAGACTTTCACTACACATAGCAGCTATATTATATTTTGCAGAATTACGTTCTCTCTTATTATATAGATCCTACAGCTTTACACTTATCCACAATTTTATCCACATATATTAATTGTTTTGTTATAGATCCAGTTGATATTTGCACACAGAGATGTTTTATAGTATTTTTAGTGGTTTACACATTGTGATTAAACCCATATGGGCTCAAGAATGAAAAACCCTTTTAGTAGAGTTGAGCGGACACCTGGATGTTCGGGTTCGGCGGAACTTTGAAAAAAAGTCCGGATTTGGGCTCGAACTTGACCCCGAACCTGAACCCCATTGAAGTCAATAGGGACCCGAACTTTTGGCCACAAAAATGCCTCTAAAAAACTCCTGGAAAGGGCTAGAGAGCTGAAAAAGGAAGTAAAATGGGGGTAAGAGTAGGATAAGTGCCCTGCAAACAAATGTGCATAGGGAAATCACATAAAATAACATAAAAATCAAAAATACAGCTGAGCCATAAAATAGCACTAGATGGAATCTTTGATTTTAGATTTGGAAGAACATAAAGCAAAATCTAAAGCATGGCTGTCAGGAGGATACCTAGTTTATACTAAGTGACCCATATATATTTTTTTTTTAATTCTTTATTTTTACATTAGAGGAACAGTGGCATAGAAATTGCAATTCGGGTTGCGCAGAAGCCCCTGTACAACTGTATATGCAAATCACATTTCCGACCCTGAGGTTGTGCATGTATGTGTGATTGATCTGTGGCTATATGTCACCGTCCATCACGGTTTTTACCATGTCTAAGCACGGTTTTCTTATGTACCCTGTTGTGTGTGCCCTCGTATCTCTTTTTCGCACCGCTAGTGTATTTTCACGCCTTCGAGTGCATATCTGTCGGGTTGTTATGTCTATTGCCTGTCTACCCGCACGACTGCTGGATCCAATCCCATCCCACTGCACTCCCCTGTCCTGCCTCTGTCTGGTGCATGTGTTGTGTGCTTTTGGCACTCTCTTCTAGTCTTGTTCCCTAGAGAGGGGTTTAGAGAAAGAAGAAGAAAAAAGAGAAAGGATAGAAGTAAGAGGCGGCCCAGGGCCCGGGCACAGGAGGCCGAGAGGCAGAAGGAGGAGGGGGGAGGAGGGGGCACGAAAAAAAAACTCCCCACCTCCCCACTCGGAGGCCGCCCCGCAGTCCCCCCGCCCCCTCCCCAATCCTCTACACCCACCTCGGTCTATTTCGCTATGTTACGCTCCTCCCTCCACTGTCGCCCCACCGGGACCCGACCCATGGCTCCCACACCTTTTGAAAGGTCTTGGTGGTGCCCCTGACCCTAGCCGTGAGGTCATCCATCACCCGTATGTCTTTTATCCCGAGCTCCTCTGTCCCCGCTGCACGTGGAGGTCTGGATGCCAGGCTGCAGGAATCTTCGGCGCCATTTTGTGCCTCCGGCATCACCGCCTTCTGGGTCGCAAAGAGCTCCGGGACCGTGGTCCCCTGGTCAGTCCCCTTCTTCTGGGGTTTTTTAGTTTGTCGTTTGTCCATGGGTGGTCTGTGCTCGGTGCCGCTCATGGAAAGTTGCTGTAGATTGCTTTATATCAGCGTCGCTGGCACGGAGCTCTACTCACACACGTCCAGCTCCGTGCCCGGTCAGGCCACGCCCCTTCTAAGTGACCCTTATGTTGAGGAGGCGGTGACCGTGGCGGTGTAGGTGGAAGCAGCTGTGGAGGAGGAGGAGGTGGTAGCCAACACTGTTTTTTTTATTTGGTTTTTTAATTGGGGTAGCCCCCAAAATATTGGGACATATAAAAAAAGAAAAAGAATAAGTGCACTTAAGTATAACAATGTCTGGGTGAGGCCGGTATAAATGTTTATTCTGCACAAGGTACAGACAAGTCTGGTGGGATCCATGCCTGGTTCATTTTAATAAATGTGAGCTTGTCCACGTTGGCTGTGGACAGGCGGCTGCGCTTGTCTGTGATTACGCCCACTGCCGTGCTAAACACACTATCAGACAATACACTGGCTGCAGGGCAGGCAAGCACCTCAAAGACATAAAGGGCAAGCTCAGGCCATGTGCCCAATCTGGAGACCCAGAAGTTGAATGGGGCAGACCCATCAGTCAGTACATGTAGGCGTGTGCACACGTACTGTTCCACCATGTTGCTGAAATGCTGCCTCCTGCTAAGACGTTCCATATCAGATGGTGGTGCTGGTTGTTGTGGTGACAAAGCTTTTCAACATTTCAGCCATGCTAACCCTGCCTTCTGAGGTGCTGGCAGTGCCCCAGCTGCGTTGGTGACCTTTTCCTCCTCCTCTGCCTTTGCCTTGTGCATCCACTGAGCCCCCGGTGTCAGTTGGGAATGCCCTCAGCAGCGCGTCTATCAGCGTGCGCTTGTAGTCACGCATCTTCCGATCACGCTCCAGTGAGGAAATTAAGGATGGCACGTTGTCCTTGTAACGGGGATCCAGCAGGGTGGCCACCCAGTAATCAGAACAAGTTAGAATTTGGGCAACTCAGCAGTCGTTCCGCAGGCACTGCAGCATGTAGTCGCTCATGTGTGCCAAGTTGCCCAGAGGCAAGGACAAGCTGTCCTCTGTGGGAGGTGTATCGTCTGTGTCCTCTGTATCCCCCCCCAGCCACGCTCCAGTGATGCCCACGAGCTGCGTTGTGTGCCACCCTCCTGTGAACATGGTTCCTCCTCATCATCATCCTCCTCCTCATCCTCCAGAACTGTGCCCTGGCTGTATTGTGTACCTGGCCTATGCTGGTGCAGGAACCAACCCTGCAAGCGACTTGTGAATGACTGGCCTGATAACCGTGGAAATGACCCCGCCTCTTCCTCCTCCACACAGTCTCAGCAGCATGTGCAAGGTGGAGTTCCACCTTGTGGGCACGTCGCATATGAGGCGGTGAGCGGGAAGGCCAAAGTTACGCTGCAGCACAGACAGGCGAGCAGCAGCAGGGTGAGAACGCCAAAAGCGCGCACAGACGGCCCGCACTTTCTGCAGCAGCTCTGATATATCTGGGTAGTTTTTCAGGAATTTCTGCACCACCAAATTCAGCACATGCGCCAGGCAAGGGATGTGCGGCAAACCGGCTAGGCCCAGAGCTGCCACGAGATTTCGCCCATTGTCGCACACCATCAGGCCAGGCTTGAGGCTCAGTGGCAACAACCACTCATCGGTCTGTTGTTCCATGCCCGTCCACAGCTCCTGCGCAGTGTGGGTTTTCCCCCCCAAATATATCCATTTAAAATGGCCTGCTGGTGGTGAAGGTGTTACGCTGCACGGATGAGGTGGTGGTAGAGGAGGAGGAAGTAGAGTAGGAGGCGACAGGAGGCAAGGAGAAATGCCCCGCAATCCTCGGTGGCAGAAGGACATGCGCCAAACTGCTATCCGCATCAGGCCCAGCCGCCACTACATTTGCCCAATGTGCAGTTAGGGAGATATAGCGTTGCTGCCCGTGCTTACTGGTCCACGTATCTGTGGTTATACAACTGTACAGATACACCAAAAACGTGGCAAAAACACACACTTAGTGGGCAGTGGATAGGAAAGAATCCTAAAAAACAATTAGGGAATCTAAACATAAAAATCTTACTAATATAGAAAGTAAAATCTTAACTAACCTGAGAAAAAGAAAAGAGTTGACCATCAAGAGCGCAGATAAGGGAGGAGGTGTTGTCATTATGTCAATTGAATATTATGTGACAGATCTATAGATTACTCAACGACCACCTTACCTATAAGAAGTTAATTTATAATCCAAATTTTAAGTTCAATCAAGAATTAAAAGTACTTCTAAATAATGCTAAATTGCCAGGCGCTCTAGATGAATCTATTTATTCCTTCATTTTTTCGGAATTTCCTTAGGTACCCACTCTATATTTCCTTCCCAAAATCCACAAATGTAAAGAATACACACCTGGTAGGCCGATTATTAGCGGTATAGCTCTCTGAGTATATTGACTTTTATTTACAAAAGTATGCTCAGAGAGCGACTTCATACCTCAGAGATACAAAACATCTGATCCAGGAGTTAGAATCTATCGAGTGGCTGGATGGATATATCTGGGCTACCCTTGATGTGACTTCTCTCTACACCGTTATTGACCATGATCTCGGTGTTGAGGCAGTTAAGAATAATCTGGAAAATGACATTGATCTTACACCCATATTTTGTTCTTTTTTGGAAGATGCCATTCTGTTTATTTTAACTCACAACATTTTTAGTTTTAATGAGGATTTTTTTCTTCAGACAAAGGGCACGGCGATGGGCACCAAGTTTGCACCTATTTATGCCAACATATTTATGGATTATTGGGAGAGATTGTCAATTTGGTCCAATAACCCTTATGGTGCAAACTTGGTGCTCTGGAGGCGCTATATTGACGACATTCTGGTCGTCTGGCACGGCCCTTTGGATGAATTAGAGAGTTTCTTTAGGTACATCAACCTTAATTCTTTATCTTTAGTTTTTACCCCTCAGGTGGGCATCTCTAGTATAGACTTTTTTGATTTATCCATTTTCATTGAAAATGGAGTTATTAAGACCAAAACCTTTTTCAAAACTACCGATACGAATAGTTTTATTGACACTACAAGTGGACACCATTCGAACTGGCTCAAGGGAGTTCCCAAGAGCCAGTTCATTAGGATGCGTAGAAACTGTAGTGATCTGGATTTATTTTATTTTCAAGCGACTATCTTGAAAAGTCGTTTTTTGGAAAAAGGTTACAATCCGGAACTTCTGGACGCTGAAATCAAGAGAGTGGGAAATATTAATAGATATGACCTTTTGGTGGATAGAAATAAAATGAATATCAGAAACCCCATGTTTGATTTCTCCTTTAATACCCAATATAGTTCTAGGGCTTTTGATATAAAGAAGATCATTAGGAAACATTGGGGGTTGCTTATTGAAGACGACAATTTAAATACCCAGATCCCTCAAGTTCCTAAGATCATCTTTAGGAAGGGAGTGAATTTTAAACAAATTCTTGCACCCAGTACTTTTCGATCAGGGAATAAAAGAGTCAAAATGAAAGAAGGTTTTGTTACATGTGGGAACTGTGTCAGTTGCAATCATCAACATACAACTGTTACTAATTTTAGTAGTACTCAAACTAAAAAGACATTTAAAATAAAAAGTTTAGTTTCCTGTTCCTCAACCCATATCGTATACCTTCTCACATGTGGATGCGGGTTGCAGTATGTGGGGAGAACAGGCAGAAAAGCTAAAATTAGATTTCAAGAGCACAGAAACAATATTAAAAAACACATGTTAACACATTCGGTGCCAGTACATTGCAATAAATGTCCTTCTTTTAATTTTAACACCCTTCAATGTATTATCATTGAACAAGTAGCTCTAGATGAGAGAGGTGGTGATCTTGGGTTATTGTTGAGAAAGAGAGAGGGCTATTGGATCCACACCCTACAAACTATGCAACCTAGGGGACTTAATGTAGATTTTGATTTAGTTTGCTTTCTTTAGGGGTTTTTGTGCAATATTATTTTAATCTAGTTTTAATATTTTTGATAATATTTTTTTTTTATTATTATACTTTTTTATTATTTTTCTATTATTATTTGGTATTTATACTTTTTTTTATTATTATATTTTTCTTTTGGGTGAAAGTCATGTTAAATGATAGTTTATGAGTAAGATCAATTGATAATGATACAAGATACATTTCTTTTATGTATATTCTCATTGTAATTTTTCCGTCTCTATGGTGGAACGCAAAACCGCCGAATGGAACGCAAGTTTTCACGTCATCATGTTTAGCCTCACTTCGAAAGTGAGGCTTGAACCGCATTTCCGGGAATGTGACACCCGGAAGTCTTTACCACGAGGAATCCGGAAGTTCGCTGCAGGTGGCTTTGCGCGCCGAGATTGAAGATCTTCGGACAGTTTAAAAGAAGACTCAGAGTGTAAGGACATTTATCCTGGCTAGAGGGATTTTTTATTTGCCCCTGAGGAAGTTCATTTAATTGAATGAAACGCGTAGGGCTATTGTTGTTAGTGCAGAGTTTTATTTTATTCTATTTTATTGTATTTATTTTTATTTTACGTGCTATTTTTGTCATTACTGTTGTTCTCTCCGGTGCTCCATTATTGGGATCCTGTGACTGAAACTACATTATATGATGTGCCTGTATTCCACTTCTATTTTGTAAGTGCATCTTTATTAAAGTATTTATTTTTATTGAGATACTCTGCACTATGATTATTCTTTTCTTCCCCTCTATATTTGCCATGATGTCCTGCGAATTCTGAGTTCTTCTATTATATTGATGATACACCTACAATCAATTTTGGTTTGTGAGTGTAACTATTATATCATACTTATTTTTTAGAACTTTTTGTAACATTATTGCACTATGTTCTTCTCTGTTATTATTGTATTGTAGATTTTTTTCGTTTTTTGTATCTGTGGTTATGTGGACCTTGCCACTGATGAAGTTGCGCAGTGCACACCTGATTTTGTCCGCCATTGGTTGTGCATGGAAGGGATGGCTCATCTGGAGAAGTATTGGCATCTGGGAACCACAGCCACCGCCATCAGGTTTTTAAAACTGTCCGTCTCCACCAGATGGAATGACAGCATTTCAAAGGCCACAAATTTTGAATTGCTGGCATTCAGGGCCAAGGATCGCGGGTGGGTAGGGGCGTACTTCCTCTTTCTCTCCAGTGTTTGGGAGATGGACAGCTGAACGCTTCCATGGGACAGTGTGGAGATGCTTGGGGACGGTGGCAGACGTGGACAACCTCTGTTTGCAGGGTGGCAGGTGCCACTGTCACTCCAGAGGTGGAGGAAGAGGCCGAGACCACCTTTCTTGGTTTTTGATGTGCTTACTCCACTGCAGCTCGTACTTTGCATGTAGATGCCTGGTCATGCAGGTTGTGCTCAGGTTTAGCACGTTTATGCCTCGCTTCAGGCTTTGATTGCACAGCGTGCAAACCACTCATGTCTTGTCGTCAGCACATTGTCTGAAGAACTGCCACACCAGGGAACTCCTTGGAGCTGGCTTTGGTGTGCTCGGTCCCTGGGTGCAGTGGGCAGTAACAGGCGTACCGTCTAGGGGACGGCCGCTTCGCTTTTGCACCCTGTTCCCTCTTATGCTGTGCTGGTGCCTCTGTGCGACCACCGCCTCTTCCTCCAAACTGGACACGTCACTCGCATGACCTTGATTCCATGTGGGGTCTAGGACCTAATCATCCTCCACATCATCTTCCACCCACTCCTCAACCCTGCCCTCCTTGCCGGTCTGCACACTGCCGAAAGCCACAGCAGTTGGCACCTGTGTTTCGTCATCATTCTCAGATATGAAGTGCACTCCGCAAATGTACTATTTAGCAGATTAGCACCCAGAAAATAAGAATGTTTACCACTGCGCAGTAAGCGCGCTATTTGACGCTTCTATTTGACTCTCAGATATGAAGAGCAGGCCACAAAATGTACTATTTAGCAGTTTAGCACCAAAACAATTAGAATGTTTACAATTGCGCTGTAAGCACACTATTAGACGCTTCTATTTGACTCTCAGATATGAAGTGCTGTCTGCAAATGTACTATTTAGCAGATTAGCACCCAGAAAATTAGAATATTTACCACAGTGTTGTAAGCACACTATTAGATGCTTCTATTTGACTCTCAGATATCAAGTGCATGCCCCAAAATGTACTATTTAGCAGATTAGCACCCAGAAAATATAAAATTATTTAATTTTCTATCAGGTCTAAAACTAACTTTAGAAGTTTTTATTTCCTGTACTGTGAACTTAACTTTATTAACACACAGAAGGCCAGGGCCGGATTAACATAGGGGCTGATGGAGCTGCAGCTCCAGGCCCAGGCCCAGGCCCATGATTTAAAAAAATAATATATATATATTTTTTTTAAAACATTTTTTTTTCACACACTACTCTTAGGGATTCCACCAGGCTTTTATTTTATTGGCACAGCCAGTATTTGAGGCTGCCTGGCTGGTGCCAATATTACAGTGATACTGGCAATACAAATGCTGGTATTTTTCTCAGTATAAACAAGAGATTACTATGCAATACCAGCACTTGCCAGTAGGGGTCGCTGTGTGTGGAGACAGCCAGGGATAGGAAGTTCCAGCATATCCCTCCCTGCCTATCTATACTCACTGATCTGCAGGGGTGCAGCTACAGAGAGTCCAGGCAGCAACTCCCACCATGCAGAGACAGCCTACAGCTCAGGGAAGTAAGGGATGGTGGGAAAGGCTGCAAGGAGACATACACTGAGACACTAAGGGACATTGAGAGACATTATGACACAGACACATGGGGACACAGTGTCCCCATGTCTCCCAGTGTCCCCATGTCTCCCAGCCAGTGTCCCTGGTGTCTCAGTGCCCCCTAGTCTCCCAGTGCCCCCTAGTCTCCCAGTGTCTCACTGTCCCCATGTCTCCTAGTGCCTCCATGTCTCCCAGTGCTTTAAGTGTCTCAATGTCCCCATGTCTCCAAGCTAGTGTCCCTAGTGTCTGTGGTCGTGGTGTCTCAGTGTCCCCATGTCTCCCAGTGTCCCCATGTCTCAATGTCCCCATGTCCCCCAGCCAGTGTCTCTAGTGTCTGTGTCCCCATGTCTTCAAGTTTCCCCTATTTTCCCAGTGTCACCGGTGTCTCTGTGTCCCTAGGTCTCCCCGTCTTCCTAGTGTCCTAGTGACACATACATGGGGACATAGGCACATGGGAATACTGGAGGACACAGGGAGACATGGGGCATTGAGACACTGTGATACATAGGGACACTGTGATACATAGGGTCACTGGGAGACCTGGGGACACGACACTAGGGGACACTGGGAGACATGGGGCACTGAGACACTGATACATAGGAACGCTGAGACCTGGAGTAATCGATACATGGGGGCACTGGGAGGAATCCATCTATACAGCATAATCAAACTAAGTAGTTTTTTGGTGACTTTACAGCATTTTCTCTTATGTCACTCCTTGTGATTTACATCATGTGATGTCACCCATACATATTTAATTATGCAAATTAGTAAGGCCGGTATGTTTTTCCAAGAAAGGTGGCAACCCTAACTACTTTTCACATACTCTTACTTAAGTATGGAAACTTAAGAGGGATGTATGGGAACAAAACTTGTGTGGACTGGCTGACAATGAATATAGTTAAAGGGACACTATAGTCACAAGAACAACTGCAGCTTATTGAATTTGTTCTGGTTAGTAGAATCATTACCTTCAGGCTTTTTGCTGTAAATACTGTCTTTTCAGAGAAAATGCAGTCTTTACATTACAGCCTAGTGATAACTTCACTGGCCACTCCTTGGATGGCTGTTAGAGATCCTTCCTGGGTCATGGCTGCTTAAAATGCATCCAAACATTCAGTGTCTCCTCCCTCTGCATGCAGACACTGAACTTTCCTCATAGAGATTCATTTATTCAATTCATCTCTATGAGGAGATGCTGATTGGCCAGGGCTGTGTTTGAATCATGCTGGTTCTGCCCCTGATCTGCCGTTTTGTCAGTCTCAGCCAATCCTATGGGGAAGCACTGTGATTGGATCAGGCCACCACTTCTAATGATGTCAGCAGACTGCTTGTTTTTCTGAGTCTAACAGCATGCAGAGTTACAGCTTCAGGCTTGAATATAGTAATTTATAAATATATAAATAATTGCTATATTTATGGAGGCATGAGGGGCCCAGGGGGGTTAGATGGTGGTTTTAACACTATAGGGTCAGGAATTCATGTTTGTGTTCCTGACCCTATAGTGATCCTTTAAGGTAATGCTGACTTTGGTCTCTCTAACACTGTGGCATGTTCCTTTTCTTCTACACTCACTACATACAGCTTTTCTCTGTCCCAGACTATATACCAGGAGCGTCTGCCTGCTAGTAAGAAGGTAAGGAGACAAGTGGACCAGCGAGTGCTAGGGGACAGTCCTTTAGAAAGCGCTGAGCAAGCGCAGCATTAGATGCATTTATGCCAAGCTCAGGGTGCTGTCTGCATAGTATGCCCTTAGTTGGCCAGCTGCATGATTGTCAGGCAGTCTGACATGCATTCATGCCAGGCTGGCCTTCAAATTCTTTGGGCAGACATGTCCTTTTTTTGGGCATGTTTGCCCCTTTTGGCAGGTTACGTGATTTGTGTCAGTGGCACACCCTTTTACCGTGCCCATTGACTTCCTGCTTGTCTGGACACTGCTGTTATGGGTTATGGATTTACTTGAAAGATGAAAACATAAGTTAGAGGGAGATAAGCATAGGGTATGTGTTTTCTTATAGCTGCTGTTTTCTTTCTCTCCAGCACCATCTCCATCAGATACATGACGCTTGGAATTGTTTTAGTATTTTTGGTCGATATGATTCTTTAATTAGGCCCGTCTTAATTGTCAGCACCAGGCCCACTGGGCTGTTAATCTGGCCCTGCAGAAGGCTCCTTCTAGCAATTCTAAGAAATTCTAAATTGAACAGCTTTAAACATTAGATCTCCATTTACAAGAAGCATTTGGAAGACTGAGTTACATGCAGGGAGTTATAGCTAGGGCTGCATGAACAAAGTGATTTAACTCCTAAATGGCAGAGAATTATTGAGCAGTGAGAATGTAGCCCCAAGAAGAAAGCGCAGCTTAGCAGAGGGGGCCTTGACAGGGCTTGAAGGCGGACTTAGGGGGAGCCTGATGGTGATTGGTGGATTAGGGTTAAGGGTTGGGCTGATATAAATGTTGGCAATTTTACTAATTTGACTTACCAGGCTGTGTTGGTGTTTTACATTGATTGGGCCTGGTAAGTTTATTTTTTCTTTCTCAGGGTGGCTGAGCAGTCTCTGGAGGAGCTGATGGCCCGACAGTGTGCAGGCAAGTGGAAGTTATCAGGCAGTGGCAGCAGGCCCCAGGGGCGAGGAGGGTGCTGCTGGGGGGCGTAGCAGGCCTGGCTTGGTGCCAGAACGGATGGTGGTGCAGGGGACTCCTTGGGTGTGCGGGGTGCCGCTGGGGCGGATGTGCAGGGTGGTCCTGAGATAGCACGGTCAGGCGGCTGGGCCGATGCCGCCCAGGCCCAGGATAGTGGGCAGTGGGTGGGTCAGTCAGACCGCACCTTGGTGGGCTGGTAGGAGACGTTGCAAGCGGGCGGACCGCAGGGGTTACGCTTTGGCTAGGGACCCTGGGACGGCGGGGCATAGGAACCCATCAGGAACGCGCATGGTGCCAGGCAGGTTGCGGAGTTGCAAATCCCCGGGTGCAATTCGGCGGCGCGCATCGGGTCCGACTGCTGACGTTGGGCAGATCACGTCGGGGGCCCGAGTTTGGTGCCCCCAGGGGTGTTGGTTACGCAGCCGGGGTGGCTTCAGAATCCAGCAGTTCCGCTCGGTGGCTCCGGGGCATGGATCTAGGCACAGGTTGGCCCGAGAGTGGAGCAGGAGTCCCAGGGGTAAGGCCAGTAGGGCCTTGAAGACTCTTGATGGCCAACAGGGCCAGAATCGGGGGTGGGACACCAGGAGGAGACCACTGTGCGCCCATGGAAGGGGAGCACGGAACAGTACAACCGGCCCAGGCTTTCTTCTTCTTGTTCCAGGTCAGACAGTGGATCAAATTTCGAATATTCCCGGGTGGATTCCCCAGTTGGCGTAAGGAGAGAAGTAGAGGAGCAGTCCTGTTCGGTGGGACCTCAAGGAGCAGCCCCGAGGCAGTCGCTGGTGGAGGGCTTGGTTGGTGAGTCGAACCCTACTATATCTTCACCTGCTTTGTTACAATCCATTCAGCACCTAATTGAGACTTGGGACAAAGGGGTACACATAGGTCAGATGCGGGGCGGTTATGGGCTCCGGCTGCGGGGGCCCCCAAGGGGGCAGTGCAAACACTGCAGGGTGTCGTGGTGGGGGGTAATCTGTAGGGGTGGCAGTGGCGGATCGGGCGAGCAAGAGGGCGGAGTTAGCGGGGCGCATGCCAGAACGCGTATGTTTCGTTGCAGACCTCTTGGGAGTGCACCTCAAAACAGGACATGAAAGACAGGACCTGGAAGGGTGAGTTCATAGAAGTTTTCGCGCTCCTCCCTTTGGAAGAATATGTTGACCTTAAAGAGGAGGAGAAGGACGCGAAAAAGAAGGAGGAGGAGAAGAGAAAGAGGTAATGTAAGATCCCTAAGTCATTCGGGAACTGGCGTTCTGTATGCTGGCCAGCATGATCGGCGACAAGTCCCCAGGGACCTGCTCCTCTTTATTCTGCTACCTGGATGTGATCTGGGAGGCTTACCGTACATATGGGGGAATGGCGTGGTGGAAATAAGACTAGCAGTTTCGCCAGCGGTTGGCGGCTAATCTGGGGATGAGGTGTGATCAGATGGATCTCCCACTGTGGATGAAGCTTATGACAGCTCAGAGGATGTCCCTCTTTCAGCACGTGGCCGGCGCAGGAGGTCAGTCTCCCACGTCGGCCTCATAAAAAAGGGTTTTGCTGGCTCTTTAATGAAGGGCAATGCAAATGGGGCACGGCCTGCAAATACAAGCATGAGTGTTCCGGATGTGGGGGCTCCCATGGCCTGCACCGATGTTTCAGAAAAGGGAAAGGCGGTGGGGCAGGGGAACCTCAGCACCTGGGGTGGCACCTGCTGCCTCAGGGCCAAATGCCGGTTAAAATAGATGCGATGCTAGTGTGGCTAAGCCTCTACGGTAATAAGGGTGATGGAATAGTTGCGCTTAAGTTTTACGCATGGTTTCGTCATTCCGTTTCGGGACAGGGAGTTTGCTTCAAGCTTTCGTAACTTAGAGTCGGTGGGGGAATTTCCGGAGGTCGTTCAGGAAAAGCTTTTCAAGGAGGTTCAGTTGGGGCGAATGGCGGGGCCTGTTTGGGGTTCCCCCACTACCCGGCCTACAGTTGTGGAGTCTCGGAATGGCTTGCTTGGGAGACTTGTGAGGTCGTCTTTGGCCCCAGTTACATGGACGGTCTATTGTAAGGTTTGGGATGCCCGGGAACAGTCTATTGCAGGGTTGGACTTGGCGGTAGTCCGGGGTTCCGGGTTGGACGTGCTGCTCTGGTATGTTTTCTGACTCTTGGCAAAAGGTTTGCCTCCTGTGGTCGTAGATCGGCATATATCTGTGCTTGAATTTTGGTTTAAGTTTCGTGGGTGGGAGGACTATACCAAAAATTTTATCATTCAGCAAGCCCTAAGGGTTTCCAGAGGGGGCGCATAGTCCCTGACACAAGGAGGCCAGTCTAGCTCGACTTACCTGGTGGCCTGGTGCGCAGTCTGCTGGGGCTTTGCTTCAACGGGTATGAGTCGAGTTTGTTCCTCTTGGCTTTCTTCGGAGCATTTTGGATCGGGGAACTGGTCAGCTCGAATCGGTTTGGGGGTGTTCAGCTTTCAGACGTTCGGTGGGCGGCATATAGGGTTGTGGTACATCTCCGCCATTCCAAAACGGCTGTTTGGAGTCGGGGTACAGCTGTTGGGGAATAGGTCTCCCATTAACATTTAGGGTCCCCATCTGCCACCAATGGGTGGAGCCTTGTTTCCCTGTTTAGTTTAACAGCCCTCATTCGCGGGACACTATGTCCCCACTTGTTAACTATTCTAATACATGATCCACCATAGGGGCAATTTATTGGATTGTGGCGCTTTTTTTACAACAGTGAGCAGCCACTGGTGACTCGCTGTTTAGCAGACATGCCCCTTGTGGCACAGGGAATAGATGCAGGAGGGAGAATTTAACTACTCTTATACAAACATGGGGGTCATATTGAAGGGGAGCATAGGGGGGTTTAGGAAGTGACAAGGAGCACAGCTCGCAGCTGCTTTTATTTTTAAATATTACAAGGAAGGAACATCAAGCTGTTAGCTCTCTCCTTGTAATAAACTAAATGAACGAATGAAGAACGAATTACAAATTATCACTTTTACAACTGTCCTTATTAACATATCCCAGCAGACTGCCTCACTTGCTTTTGAATACTCTATGAGAAGCATTGTTTATGTGTGTGGTCTAAAGAGCTTGAGAACAACTCCGATAAAAAAAATATATATGTATATATGTTTTCCTTAATTGGTGTGTTCCTTTACCACAATTTCAGCCTCTCATACACTAAATCTAATTATCTAAGCAGGCCCACAAAACATTTTACTGCACCTTTCATCCCTAATCATTCCTTAACCTGCCATCTGGTCAACCTAAAGTCTGACACTTTTAAGGGATTAGTATAAATTGGTTATTATTCAATTTTTTGACATACAAATTATGTATATGTTTTTTTTTTTTTCAATTCTTTATTTTTGTTGTGCACGTTATACATCGTAATAACGGCGTGTCTGAAAATGTACTTAAATTAAACAGTGGCATGAAATCTTGCACATTTCATATAGTTATAACAGTCATCCGATAGGCTAAACAGTAATGATTTTGAAATAAAATGAAATGAAGAGGTTAACGCTTAACAGTGCTAGGTTAGGCATGTTATTACAGTTGTTCACATTCTTGCTAGGCCAGTGTATGCATTAATTAGACATTATAGGCAGGCTCTCTGGGTTTTGTATGACAGCATGCATTAGCGAGTCAAGTAATATACTTAAAATAAAATAAAATAAACTGTGGCATGAGATCTCGCATAGTTTTATAAAATTATGACTGCCATCCTAAAGGTTAAATAGTGAGGTCAATAGGATAAATGAAAAGGTCAACGTTTAACAGTGCTAGGATAGGCATGTTGTCATGGCTGTCCACCTTCTTGCCAAGCCAGTGTACACAATAACTAGGCATTATCGACAGACCCTCTGAGTTTTGTAGAGGAGCATCTGCATGCCTTTGAAGCTTCAATGAACCACATTGACTTACAGATAAATGTGCGCATTTTGGAGTTCTAGATTATGTATATGGTTTTTATATATATTTTTTTAAATGGTACAATTTGTTTTTGAATACATCCTATAGCAGCATATATATCCATACTGACCCTTTAAATGGCATTAATGCATTTATGTGTTGAAGCCTCTTTTAATGACTTCTTTAAAAAATTCTTAATATGTCAATACAAGTGTGTTTGTCAAATTGTTATTTCGTATTATTGTGCGGACTTACTTTAAAAATCCTTTTTTAAATTCTTTCTCCTGTTTTTTATGTTATGGAATGGGACTTAAGACACTGTATAAAATGCTTGTGACATGTAGCCATTTCAGTTTCATTCATACAGCAAAGTCATTTTTGTGGCCTAAGTACAAAGTAAAAACTGCAATGGAAATTAAGCACCTTCCCTCATGAGGATGGACAAGCCGTCCAAGATTCTCACATGCCTCAGTGAGGTTTCTTCACATTCATTTGATAGACTCGAGGTGTGTGGAAAGACTCCACCTTGATTAGACGGATGAGGGAACACGTAGACTAATCAGGAAATTAATCCAGTGTCTTCAATGTTCAGCGGCATACTGATTGAAAAACTTTAATCTCTTTGAGCTTTAATGTCTCAATAAGGAGTTTTCCCAAGTGCCGGATTAAGGAGTTTTCATAAATAACTTGTTTTAATAAATCGCTTTACATTTTCCATCTGGCTTCTACATCACTTTGCTGTTGCTTATGAGTGGTATCTCCCATATTGCCACATTATCTACATACCTCAGAGCAAGGGGTCAAAGGCTCTGTAGGTGGTACGTGTTACTTATATATATATATATATATATATATATTCAGCATGTATTTTTCCCACAGTATATGCATTTTCTTTTCCTATGTATACCTAACACCACATTGTGAAGATAGAAATGTACATCAAAAAGAAGGTTGACTTTTAAACATTACTTGTTTGAACACTTGGGCACAGGTCTACTAAAGGTCTCTTTTCATGTGAGTGCATTACATGTGTTTTAATTATTATTAGTGACATTTATATAGCGCCAACAGATTCCGCAGCGCTTCACAATATTATGAGAGGGGTGATTTAACTATAAATAGGAAATTACAAGAAAACTTACAGGAATGATATGTTGAAGAGGACTCTCCTCAAACGAGCTTACAATCTATAGGAGGTGGGGTGTAAAACACATTAGCTCTGAACTAAAAATATTACACTATTTTATTTTCCATTTTTTGTTTTATTTTTTTATATGCCAAGCCCATAAGAAGAATATATCTTAAAACGTAAAACAAGAAAGAATGAGAGCTCTGAGAACGGACAAAAGCTTAGAGTAAACTCAATAGCTTGCCCTTTGGTACATCCCCACTCAGGTCTCAAAATAGTTTTTGCTAACTTGTTCCATTACAGAGAGAACATATATGAAGCATATCAGACTGGTCCCACCCGTACGGGCAGTCCAGATTCGAAATGCCAGCAAGATTCCTCTGCACGAGAGACAACCCCAGATGATCGTTTCGGCCTTCTTTTGGGCCTCGTCAGTAAGGTGTAGCCGATACCCTTCAAGGCATAGTGAGCACAGGGTCCACGTCTGGATTACCCTTTTAACTTTGAATGAGCCACCTTAATGCATTAAAGCAAAATAAGAAATAATGTACCTTTCTTTTACAGTGCTTCACTTTATTGGTTTTCACATAGAGAAACATAGTTGCTGACAAATTGTGATTCCCAAACTATATATCTGTATTTAAACAGTTTATCATTCACTGATAATACCGGAGATTACCAGATATTATGCTGTATTTTGCTGTAGGGGATTTGCGACTCCCATGTTCAGTATAGATTATTACAGTTCAGTTGAGATACCCCTAATGTAATAAATAACGAAGAATGTACTCCTGGATGGGACTTACTGAATAGTTGGTAAGGGTTAATACAAAATCGAGCCTTAAGACTTAAATTAATGTGGGTAATTGTTTGTTACTCCTAATTTTTATTTTCACCAGTCTGTACAAGTTTATTCATAACATTTGCATTTGACACTTGTTATTAATGTATTAAGGGACTCTATTATCCTCTATTTGAGGATTTCAATTTTTCACTTGTCCATGACTCTTGGAGTCTTCCTTATGTCTGTGTCACATGTCTATCTTCTTAAAACTCGGGGCATATGCCCTTTTCTTAACTTATTCTTATTCTTAGTCATGGGAACGATTGGAACCAAACTTAGAGACACTCTTTTTTTTTATTTCTTACCTTATCCCTTGGTCAACAAATCCATTTGGGCCACAAATGCAAATTAGCACTTTTGATTCCCTCTCACTTCTTGTAATGGTCTCTGACAGAAAAGGTAATGATATGCGTCCTTTGCATCCTTTCCATTTTGCACTGGGCTCAGAAAGGATAAACTGAATTTCAAATCTGAGAAAGAAAAACCAAAACCAAAACAAAAAAACGTTTGATCACAGTTTTGAAGATGCAACACATTTTCATGGCAGCTTAGCAGTTTGAGGACATTTCAGGTAATGGTAATTTGTCATTTAGTAATCCCATGACAATATTAAAAAAACTGTTTCTTATATGATATGTGCATTTTAAAAAGCAAACAACTTCTTTATTTCAAGCACTGTTACTATTGAGGTTATTTTCATTACATTTTAATCTGATGGATAACAGCACCTTCTCACATGCTTTTAACATTTAATGTGAAATTATCTACGAATGATGTCCAAGTCTTGTGGAATCTTCGACAAACCCCCTCTGTTATTTTATTCTTGATAGAGTGTTCATTTAAGTTACAAAACAGGTATTCATTCGCCTGGATGTACCACAAGTTTTCTTTTGGCTTTCTAGCTCACACATTTTTATTAAAAATGGCTTTCCAGGCATTACTTGGCATTTAGCTGTAGTCACCAGAACTACAGCTAAATGTAGTTGTTCTGGTGTCTATAGCCTATCCCTCTAGGTTTTTTAAATCTAAACACTGCATGTTTCTACACTTTTCATAGATGCTGTGCTAATCAGCAGCTCCTCATAGAGTTGCTCACAGGGAGTAAAATCATCTTTTTAAAGTAAAGAGAGAGGGGCCGGATCCTAAATAGTTATTTTTACCACTATTGTGTCAGTAATACACGTTTGTGTTCCTGACATTATAGTGTTCCTTTATTTAACTATGGATCATGGACATATTAAGGTACAAATACAAATTGTCCTCAACGGCCTCCTTAATGACCTGTTCTCTTAAAGGACCACTCTAGGCACCCAGACCACTTCAGCTTAATGAAGTGGTCTGGGTGCCTGGTCCAGCTAGGGTTAACCCATTTTTTCATAAACATAGCAGTTTCAGAGAAACTGTTATGTTTATGAATGGGTTAAGCCTTCCCCCTAATCCTCTAGTGGCTGTCTCATTGACAGCCACTAGAGGCGCTTGCGTGCTTCTCACTGTGATTTTCACAGTGAGAGCACGCCAGCGTCCATAGGAAAGCATTGATAATGCTTTCCTATGTGACCGGCTGAATGCGTGCGCAGCTCTTGCCGCGCGTGCGCATTCAGCCAACGGGGAGGAGAAGAGGAGGATCGGAGGAGGAGAGCTCTCCGCCCAGCGCTGGAAAAAGGTACGTTTTAACCCCTTTCCCCCTTCCAGAGCCGGGCGGGAGTGGGACCCTGAGGGTGAGGGCACCCTCAGGGCACTATAGTGCCAGGAAAACGAGTATTTCCTTTAAGAAACTGACAAACAGACATTTCCCACAGATCTCCTGCCTCAGGATGTCACCCAGACTGAATAACCTGATATACAGAGATATGAATATTTATTTGCAAATGTTTAGAAACTTTGATTCTGTTGCAGTTAGAGATAATTTAACCCCTAAAAGCTTTTTAGATTCTGCCAAACACAATGTTAAACTGTATCACACTTCTAAATCACTTTTTTAATACTAACTCCCTTCTTGTCTTCAATCTGGCTTCCACTTCCTCCACTCTACTGATACTGACCCTACTTAAGCGACTAATAACAATTTCTGACAAATCTAAAGGTCAGTACTCTTTATTAATTCTGCTGGATCTTTCTTCTTTTAATACTGTTGACAACAGAGTTGGATTTTACATTAGGCAGAGAAGGCACCAGTCTACAAGGGTGCGCCTGTTTTCAGTACTCATAATGTGCCTTTTTGAGCTTAAATAGGCTGGTGGCTAAGAGATAAATAAATAAGCGTTACTTGGCCGCCTGTGTCCACTGTAATCCAGTCAGCGTCCTATGCTTAAAAGCATAGCTGTGGGAACAGTTATAGAGGGTTTAAAGTTCAGTGCTGTCCTAACTCCGCCAATATCTATGTGTGATGCTGAAAAGGAAGTGGAAGTGGAAGGGATAACATATTCTTACACAGAGAATATGAAATACCTTGCAGGAGGAGCAAGTGAAGCTTTCAGTGATGCACTCTATATAACCTCTCCTAAATTATGGATTTAACCCCTGCTGGTACTTTTAGTACATTACGGTCTGTCATCAGCGTTAAAGCCCTGCACTTTAACTAGTTAGCATGGAGGAGTCTCGTTCATTATCGGAATTAACCAGACAAATCGTTCAACCAACTAAGAACGGCCATGCACCACCACCCACAGAATCAAGAAGGAGCTATCAATCCTTTCTGTGTCCAGGCCGGGTGAGGTTTCCGTGCTAACTAGTTACGCGACCCCTGGCAGGTTTTGATGGATCTTTCCCCTCACTTTCTCACTTCACAGGGCACTCTATCACAATGTGCAGGCAACCAACACTCTATCACCTTTCCTTTTACCTCTGTTATTGCCTTACACCCTATATAAGTGGAGTTTATAACCTAAGGCTTGTTTGGATACATTTTATCTATTGGATTACATAATATACAGCGTTTAGTTACACTAATATCGCTTTTTTGATACTACCTATTGGATTAATTTGTTTACTAAGTATCCAGAATTTAGCTATGTAGGGATGCCGTTCTTTCAATAATCCTTTATAGAATTGACTACTATTTATCCCTGTTAGCTATCTTTTCAATGGTGTGTTATCATCACTTTTCATATAGCCTGTTATTTTGCTCAACTCTAATTTATTCAATCTTTCCTATTAAGGCTATTTATATCTTTATACCACTAACAAGTGGTGTAATTTATCATTATATTCATATTACTTTGAGCAATTTTGAACCCCACTGGGTATAAGCAAGTCCCTAAAGTCTCTCATCATTTTTGTTTATAGCTGATACTAGTCGCAAACATTGACCTATTAAGGATTATATTAAAATCTAAGTCTATGAATTTTAGTGATTATTTTGGAGACATTAGGAAGGGAGGCAAGCCATTTGGCATTTATTTCTTTTCCGTCTGATCTTCTGTTAGTACTTCTATATTTATCCTTATATTGCATGTATTTCCATCTATTATCTTCTATAGTATTTATTTACATTAAATATTTTCTTGGTTATTAGTTTTCCAGTGGATGCTCATATATTCGCTATTGTGAGTATCTTGTAGATCTATCAGGGGACATGTTATTTGTGGGGATACTCCAAGTATAAAGGGGTGTCCCAATTATTGGGGAAAATGTGATTTTTCTGCCTAGAGATAATTAAGTTATTATTTTATCAGACTTAATTATCTCCAGAGCTAGGGGAGTGAACTGTGGGTGTGTGTTATGTTTTTACAGTACGTGATTGGTTAATGTTTGTCCCTCCCTGAGGGATGTCCCCTTGCATGGGGACTTGCATAAAAGTGGTGTGCACCCATTAAAAGTTAGTTCATTTTGTACCCTTCTTCTTGACTTTGGCTGATGTTTGGGGATTCGTGTGTTTCACTAAGGGAATCTTGTGAAGCTATTGGAATTACTATATGGTTCGTCTACTTTATCTACCTAACAGAGAGCTATAATTACTAAGGCTCTGGCGGTTCGGGAGGAAACTACCGAATGAGGTTTAAATATACTTGGTTTCCTTACACACACCAACACTTGGAAGCATAAGAACAAAATAATATCTGATAGTTTACATAGTTTACATAATTTATTTAAATTAAAGTATTCTCCGTTTGGTCCTCTTTACTTTGAATTTGTTATCTTTCTACATACAATTAAGGTTAGACCCTTTCTTCTGGAGATATCCCTCTAAGCAACTTTACGTATCTCCTAGCTAAGATATACACCGTCGCTTATTTATTTTTGAAATGTTTTCATTCTTTGCTAGAATCAAATTACAGACATCCTAATTTTGCCATGCTTCTTTGCTTGCTTCCCAAAAATGTTACTTGTTGGCATAACATGATCTCAATGTTATTTACTAAAGTAAGAACAGTCATGGATTCAACATGAGTTTAAAGTAAATTTCAAATGTAATGCCAAAACAGTTAAATTGGAAAAATTCAATGCTTTTAATGTTATTGTTCTAGTCTAAAGTTAGAAATCCACTTTTAATCCCCACATAGCATTTCTCACTTTAGTCAATAAACCCGTACCAGCCAATTTCCATGCTGCTTGTAATCCTAACATTTTCTAAGTGCAACCTTAGCCAACTCCTACCTAATGCAAATCCTAGCTCACCTTACCTAACCCTAACCAATATTTATTAACCATAATCAACCCTGAAGAGTCACTACCATTAACATAACCACTATAGTGCACCTTTGTGGTTTTGGTGCCAGGAGTGCCATATCACTGTATTCATACTCAAAGCTTACAAGATTCTGTGTATCGTAACTCCATTATTTCAAATATTTGAGCAAAAGTGATTTGCCTTGGAAGATGGGCACTGCAGGGAAGTACAAAAGTAGTGCTGAGTGTGTGTTTGTGGGAAAAGCAGTGACTGACATATAGGAAATTATTTAGTGAACCACTTTCCAATACTGTTCGAAACTGCAGTTACAGCAGGTATTGGTGATTGTATATATTAACTATGAAAGAAAGGCGAAATAAATAAAAATAACATCAAGAGGAAACTAACTTAGCCATATGAGTTCATTTTCATTATTCCTTACCGCTCATTTGTCAAACTCAGGTCCACAATTTGGTCTCTCCATAATATGTCATCTTCTGTTTTGTTGAAAAATAGCAACTTAGCCTTTCTGAGAGGGAAACATATCAAAACAAACATTTCAGAACAGTAAAACCATAATATCTACATGAGACAAAAAATAAACAAAAACAAAACAAATTTCACCTACACAGCACAGCTTAAAATACTTATGCAATCACAAATGTAATTCATATAATAACTTCTCTGTGTAATACAACTCTTTATGTTAACCTATTAAAGGGAAACTAGGGTTATAAATAAAATACTTCACGACAAGGGATAAAATTAACTCATCTATAATGTCATTCTGGTCTTGCCAAGGTTAAAGCTCCTTCTGTTTTGAAATCACCTTGATGTATAATCATGGATCAATTCAATACTTCTCTGTGGCCCTAAGGCAAATGCACAGCAAATGCCTACTCCTAAGGCATGTACACGGAAATGGTCTAGCAAACCAATCCGCAAGATAAGATTAGTGCTGGGCTTTTTCCAGCTGCCAAGCAATGATCTCTGTGTGAAGGACCTGCAGCACGAGTGGGAGCTCTCCCATTAGAATGAACACATGGCAAAACTGCCAAAAAGGCATTGGTCACAAACGCATTGCATCTCAAAAAAGCCTTGGTCTTTAAAGTATTGTCATGTCACTCAAACTATTCCTGAAAAATTTTGCCAAGAGAGGCCACTGCCATCAGGGAACGCCATTGCCATGAAAGGATGTACATTGTCTGCAACAATCTCTAGGTATGTGTACATGTCATAGTAACATTAAAATGAGTGCCAGGACCCAAGATTTCCCAACAAAAAATTGCCCAGAGCATAGCACTGCCTCTGCCAGCCTGCCTTCTTTCCATAGTGTATCCTGTTGCCATCTCTTCCCAAGTAAACGACTCAGACACACTCACCAATCCACATGATTTAAAAGAAAACATGACTCTTCAGACAAGGCAACCTTCTTTCATTGATCTATGGTCCAGTTCTGACACTCATGTACCCATTGAAGCGGCTTCTGGTTGACAGAGGGTATCATGAGCACTCTTACCGGCCTGCAGCTAGGCAACCCCATATCATTGGCGGATCCAGAGCCTGATCTCGGGAGGGGCACTTGTAGATTATTTAAATAAATAATCCTGGCACAATAACCACTACAGCTCAGTGTAGTAGTTATGGTGCCAGTAGTGCCAGGATCCCACCCCAGAGTAAGTAGTCATACCGTTTAAGAACAGTTTGACAACTTACCTGGGGTCTGCTGGGATATAGGGCATAGGAGCAGCGGTGTGTGTTAGGGGTGAAGTGTGTGTGAAAGGTGCAGTATGTGTGAGTGCGTGAGGGCGGCAGTGTATGTCAGGGTTCCAGTGTGTGTGTGGGGCAGTGTGTGTATGGGGGGCACTGTATGTCTGTGTGGGGTTAGTGTGTGTATGGGGAGGGTACTTTATGTATGGGGGCAGTGTGTGTATGGGGGCACTGTCTGTGTGGGCAATGTGTGTATGGGGGGCAGCAGTGTGTGTAGGGCACTGTATGTGTCTGTGTGTGTATGGGTGTGCAGTGTTTGTGGGCAGTGTATGTGTGTGTGTAAGGGGGCAGTGTATGTGTATGTGTGGGGGTAGTGTATGTGTGTGTGGGGGCAGTGTATGTGTGTGTTGGGGCAGTGTATGTGTGTGTGGGGGGCAGTGTATGTGTGTGTGGGAGAGGAAGGAGGGTATGGAGGCTTTTAAAAAAAAGTATTTAATAAAATATATTGATGTCTCCCCTCCCTTCTTACCTTTGTTGAGGAGGAGGGGGGACATTTCTCCGTCCCTGGTGGTCCGGTGGAGATTCCCTGGTGGTCCAGTGTGGAGTGAAGTCTAGCTCCAGGGCTAGACTTCACTCTCGTGAGATTTGGAGCATTGCAGTGGTAACTGCGGCAACGCTCCAAATCTCGCAAGAGGAGGACTCGGAGGAGCTGCTGGTAAGAGCTTCCAACACATGAAAATCAAGAACTGACTGTACATTTACTGTAACAGCATAATTCATGTTATTCACTTCACAGGCCAGGGTTATAATGTAGTGGCTGACCAGTATATATAACCATCGGAGTTCTTCTGCAGGTTACCATGTCAAAGCTCTGACAAAGAAGGTTCAAGAGCTTGCAAGACAGCTACTGATGGTCTGCACTCGGTGGAGGTGCAGGACAGAGGTGTTCTAGATCCTTCCATTTGGGATTACCCAGCACACTGGACTTCCAGGAAATTGGATTATTCACCCTCCATGCAAGGTAACAACAAGGAGGAGGGATTTTTTTTTTTTTTTTAAAGCAATTACATTAATAATAAGTAAAGTAATAAAGATCCAATCCTACCCATATCCACTACACTCTCTAAAAGCACACAACACCTCAATGCACACACTGCACCCCAGGGCCGGACTGGTCAACCGAGATACAGGGAAATTTTCCCGGTGGGCCTGGGCCGCACAGTGCAGAATCTTCTCCTTCCCCCACCCAGTACACACAGTCATGTCGGGGGCGTGACGAGCTGAGGAGTTAAGGTCCCCTCTCAGCTCTAGATTGGCACTGTACTTTATGCACTCGCGAGCAGCAGGCACTCCAAATTGAACTGTCAATTCTGCTCGTGAGTGAAGCATAAGAAGCAGGGGAGGGAGGTAGTCCTGGTGCCTGCTTGACAGCCTTCACAAACAGGAAGCATGTGACCTGGCAATCAGGCAGAGCAGGGCAGCCCACGCGGGTCCTCTGATGTTTTGCTTCCTGTGTGTAAAGCGCTGGCAGGCAGGGAGAGGAGTGAGCAGGGGGCCAGAGAGAGCTGCAGGCAGGCTGCTGGGAATAAGCTTCCCTGTCTTTTACCGGTCATTGGCTTGTTATCCGTTTAGGACACAATGTACAATTTACCTCTGTGCTTCGGATTCCCCTTCTGTTGAATGGATGTTTTCAGCCAGGAGCTGAGCACAGATTAAGGAGCAAGGTGGGCTGAGTGAGCAGTGGCACCCAGGTATTTTATGTTCATTTCCAAGATTATTAGGGTGTGTGTATATTTGAGTGTGTAATTGTGTGTGGGAGGTGTTTTTGAAGGTATCATGTGTGTGTCAGTACGGATCCATGTATGTGTCAGTGTGTGTGTGTGTGTGTCAGTATGGATCCATGTATGTGTCAGTATGGATTAGTGTGTGTGTTTCATGATGGATCAATGTTTTCGTCAGTATGGATTACTGTGTGTGAGTGTCAGTATGGATCAATGTATGTGTCAGTGTCAGTATGGATCAATGTATGTGTCAGTGTCAGTATGGCTAAATGTATGTGTCAGTATGGATCACTGTGTGTGAGTGTCAGTATGGATAAATGTATGTGTCAGTATGGATCACTGTGTGTGAGTGTCAGTATGGATCAATGTATGTTTCAGTATGGATCATTGTATGTATCAGTATGGATCATTGTATGTATCAATATGGATCAATGCATGTGTCAGTATGGATTACTGTGTGTGTGTGTGTCAGTATGGATCAATGTATGGTGCATGTATCAGTATGGATTACTGTGTGTGTAAGTGTCAGTATGGATCAATGTATGGTGCAATGCATGTGTCAGTATGGATTACTGTGTGTGAGTGTCAGTATGGTGCAATGCATGTGTCAGTATGGATTACTGTGTGTGTGAGTGTCAGTATGGATCAATGTATGGGGCAATGCATGTGTCAGTATGGATTACTGTGTGTGAGTGTCAGTATGGATCAATGTATGTGTTAGTATGGATTACTTTGTGTGAGTGTCAGTATGGATCAATGTACGTGTCAGCATGGATTACTGTGTGTGAGTGACAGTATGGTCAATATATGTGTCAGTATGGACTAGTGTGTGTGAGTGGCAGTATGGATCAATGTATGTATCAGTATGGATCAATGTGTGTGTCAGTATGGATAACGGTGTGTGAGTGTCAGTATGGATCAATGTATGTATCAGTATGCAGTGGCGTACACACAACCCATGGGGCCCCGGTGCCAAACTGATCCGTGGGCCCCATCCCTCCCTCCTTCTCCCCTACCCCCCCTCGACAGACACATACACACACACATACATACATACCCATAGACACAGACAGACAAATACAGGCAGGCACACATACATACATACATACAGACCGAAACACACACAGGAACAGACAGGCACACATACATAAAAAGACACATCCATACAAACAGACAGACACACACATACACAGGCACAAATACATACATACAAAGACACACATACATACAAAGACACATACACACATACATACAGACACACACATACATACAAAGACACATACACACACACAAAATGTTTAAGTCACCCTCCTGTTTCCTACCTTTTAGGTACAGGAGGGTGACTTTCCCTGGAGTCCAGTGGTGACTCAGGTTGATGGGAGTCAGAGTTCCCACTCGGACTCCCTCCTCCTTCCTCCCGTGCGGCTGATCAGTGATCTCATAAAGAGGGCCCGGTCGCGCTGTTGAAGTGCCCAGCGCTGACCGGCTCCCTGACAATCCATATCCATCAGGTGGCCCATGCAGTCAGGGCCAACTGATGGATATGGAGTGTCAGGGAGCCGGTCAGGACACAAAACACTACAAAATGAAGATAGAACAGAAAGGAGATGGGATGTAACTCTGCACAAAGAGGGTGGAGATCGGGGAGGGGCAAGATCAGAACAGATGAAGTATGCAATAAAAATTGAGATCCAAGTCGCTCAAGACAATATTAAATGTATGCTTAATATAGCAAAATGGAGGAACTAGAGGCAATTACATACACCAGGGCTTGAGTCCTGCAGGAACGCGTGGGTGTTACTTGTTATGCCTAGACTCACATCACTGTCACGGACGACTAGACAAGATTGTATCTTGCAACATGTTAGTTTATATATTAGTTGGTTAATTTTCATAAATCTTGTTAACGGTCACATAAACATAGGACAAGCAGCTTGAGAGTTATTACAAAGCTATATACCAGCTGTAATAGACAAGCGCTAACCCAATTTTGTCCTTCTCTGATAATAGCATGTATTGTTTATCATGAATACCATATTGGATTAACGCTTGCTTACTATTAATAATATAAAACTGTGCTGACTTTCTATTTGCCATGTTTGACAATGTAAGGTTATATTAAGCTTGTGA